ATAGCCAACTTGCTAACTGAGTTGTGCAATTACTTAAGATTTGGTTCCAATTTATTTATAGCCCCAAATGGCACCTTCAATCGTAGACGAGTACCAGATTCATGAGCCAATAAACAAGCAGCAACCTCCTCATGCTGATTGGCTCAGCTTGCGTGCGCGTTGATTGGCCACTTTCGCTTGACTAGTGATCAAGTAGACGTTTCTGAGAGTAGACACAATTTGTGATTTTCTACCATTAAGTGTCCCCTTTAGTGCCTTTATTCGAAACCCGATTTTTCTCCATTCTTCCCCTTTCCTGCTTGCTCGAGGTACAAGCTACCATAATGTGGTTCTTAGTCTGTATGCTGAACTTCGTCCTGGCTGGCAAGGGCCTTGAGATTCCGGGGACCCTGTATTTCTCTCCTCCCGACGCTCATGTTGAAATGGACACTGTCCCGATGACATGTTCTCGCCTCCAGTCCACCCCACAACAGACTGGCTTTCGGATAGTCTTCTCCGTCTTCGTGGAGACTGATGAGGCCGTCGTCATGGCAGGCGTGAGCGGCTATTCTGCCGAACAGACAGCAACTGGTGGCCATATCGACTCGTCGCTTCTGTCCACGAGAACACTGGGTTTGCTCGTCTATCTACAGCGTCCATACGTCCGATTAAATATCAGTCGTCTGTCCGACGGTGTGGTGCGTCTTCTGTTGCAGCACACAATCGGTTTCTTCGAGGCGTCCTGGGAGGGCTGGCACGATGTGGAAGTGGGTGTGAGGCCGTTGAGGCTGGGCAAACTGAACGGCCTCAGTCGGTCTGACGATTCTGGCCAAGTGGTTTTCCGCTACGACAACCTTTTGTCGCGGGGCCATCTTCCGCTGGGAGACGTGTTATGGCCGCGGCCGGAGGTGACACGACTCATGCAACAGACAGTTCGGCCAGACAGACTGTGGCTTGGTGATGAGCTCTTCTTCGGTCTGCCGCCCACAGGCTCCTTGTCGAGGCAGGCGGCAGAGACGCTCTACAAATCGAAAGACACCGAGTCTACCGCCACATCCCTCGACCGGCCCAGCGACACACACTCCGCGCATGACAACCAAGTTGGGCTGTCAACTGTCTCGGGGTTGCCAGGCCTCTTGGGTCGCCTTAGCAACGTAATGCTGGAGGCTGACTGCACCTGCGATGGCAAGCCGTTTGGACCGAGATTCTTAACTTCGGGAGGCGGCATCTCTTGGCTACAGATCTGTGACACAGCCTCGTTTCCTGGGCACCGGCTGTGGCAGGGCGCGAGGACTAAAGTGGCGCCGGCGATTTGTGGCACCAACGAAACCGTCGCGAGGCGTATACAGGCGACTGGGCAACCCTGTGTCTGCAATTCCCACTGGCATAGAGGGACGCCAAGCTCCAATCAGCCGACACAATGTTTCTGCCCTAAGGCCTGTCGAGCGGAAACAAGTAAGGCAGGCTGTCGTAAGAAGACTAGCAACAAGTTGCATAAGTCGAATTTATACTTGTCCTACTTGTAGACATGTCACTCATGATAGACTGCAGTACATTATTCAGGTTGTTGGGGCGACCTCGAGGAACACACCTTTTTCGAACTAGCAGTCATGCTAGTTACCATGTCCTTTGCACATTGCCAAAGAGATTTCTCTCTTTTACAAGGTGCAGTTTGGTGCTAAGACTGACAAGACTGACAAGACGCACTGACGACACCGGCAAAATGCCTTGGAAGGCACCAATTCCAAGGTCCGTGGCTAAAAATTACCCTGTCCACTATGGCCAATGATCCCAGGCATCATCTGGATGACTTTAGCAGCACGATCAAGTTGCTAAAATGAGGCCAAACCGCCTCTATGTAGCAAAAAGGGACTTCTACCAAAATAGAAGCCACCTGCGAGTATGTATATATGCATAAATATTCGTATATTCGGTTATTCGATAATCAATTTGTCAAAGTACCTTCCCACATGCCTATCTACAGAGTTAATCATCTATCCATTTTAGGCACGTGCGTCCTTTAATAGTTCAGTCTACTTACTAAGTGATCAGTCGAAACATATGCATATGGTAGGCTTCATCAAACCGTTCATTTAATGATTGTTTCACTCCTGCATCCTCTAACCACTTAGCATAAAGTAATAAAGATAATAATGTCTTTGCTTCCGTAAAGGTAGCAAATAGACCTAGATTCCACAAAAAAATATTTACATATAAATTTAACATCGCCCTATCTGTCTTTTAGCTACAGCCAAAATAATAAAGGCATTATGGCAAAATTGCGGGCTTTGAAGATTTATTTCGTCTGAAAAAGAGGATCGAAGTGATCGTAAATTGGCCGCATCGGAAACCGGTGAATTGCCTTGTGGTCTAGTTCGTAGAGGTCCTACGGCCAAAATGAATCTGTGCTAGACGTTCGTCTGTAAAGTAAAATAAATAGGTATAGTCAGTAGGCCTTATTTACGAAAAGTCGAACGTATGAAAACCAAGATGGTATGGTTTTTCGTATTATTGCGGTCTCCATTCGTTGCATATAACTGGTTTGACTCTGTTTTCACAACTTGATCGTATTGCCAGGCAGGACTAGAGCAAGGTACCATATTCGGATTCCATAGTATGCATGATAATTTCCAGAGTTGCGCCGAGAATTTGATAAATTCCCACTGTCAGATGCTAGGAATCAAGACAATAGGTGTCCTCATACAGGGTGACGGCAGTTTCGACCTCGTATGATGGTGGTGATAAGACCTAGTCAAGGTCGAAACTGCAGTCACCCTGTATGA